ATGATTACGACAAATTTTCACGATGAACAAATCAAATGTTTTGTCGAGTAATGAAATATCTGCATTATTGTCGACGTCGAAAGGGGTAACGCTTCAAGAAGATGAACATTTCGACAACTCACTCGCAACTTAACATCGTCTGCTTTCGCGCATTTCATGTTCTTGTCAATAAACGAATTCAACCAAATCGTTCCAATCGTTGTGGCTGCTCGCACAAGAAGAATCTTTTTGTCCTGATCCGTTTTCTTGATATGCAGCTGACCAACGCCAAGTTTTTCATAAGATTTACCTTTCAGAATAAACACCGAGCATTTGGATGAAAAGATCGCATTCGGTTCATCCTCTAATACGGCCTCTGCTTTTGGTGGTACATACTCTTCATTATCATCGTCTTTATCTGTTGACTGATTACTTGACGTGGTGCCGAGCTGAGGTGCTCCAAATGAAAAACCTGAACAATAGTAGACCATTATCACATTTTCACTGAATCTGAATATAAATTGAATATTCACGAATGAACAGACGGTTTTATAGAATGATGGTCGTTATGAACATGCCTTTAGTTGATGCATCTTTGTTGAGAGTTCCGAATGAGAACAATGGTTTAATAGTGGATGATGACGAGGACGATGTTGACGTATCTCCTTTTGTTACTGAGGCGATCGATGGGAATACTGGCGTTCTGAAATCGAACACCTGTATGCTTCACTAATCGAGCATCTATCTTAGGTAATATCTACATTTATTGGCAAATTAAATTTTTAATATCACCCACTGCTGCACGTTACACTCAGTGAACTCAATGGATGCACAAAGGAATATTTTATGACATAATTTAAAACGTTGTGGTGAACCGAAAATCAGTTTCTACCTGCAAATTTCTCAAGAAACGGGACCTTATAATAAAATTTGAGAGATAGATGATTGAACAGACTTGAAAGTGGATGATGCTTGCAGCTTATCAGCTGCTTTGCCGCTATCAGTATTATCAGCTGCTTTGCCAAAAGTGAATAATGGTTTTATTGCAGTTGATGTATTACTGTCATTTGATGACGATGATTTCGAAGTACCAAACGAAATTGAGGTTGTTGCATTTGTGGTCGTTGACGACGAGGACATTTTCGAATCTGAAGCGCCGAGAAACGAAAATGGAGAGGAGACGACATTCTTCGGCTTATCTTCAGATGCAGCATCTCCTTGCGACTTATTCACGTCAACCGTGTTGTCTGACTTCGTGGTCTGCTGATCTTTCGCCGAACCACCAAACGAGAATAACGATTTAGGAGAGAAGATGTTCTGAGTTGACGAGTTGAGTGAAGACGCAGATGTGGTTTTAGTGTTTGTTGATTGTGGCTGCTTATCAAACGAGAATGGCATCGTTGTTTTCGGACTCTGAAATAAAGTTTTCTTGCTATTGCAAACTTCAAAATTTCTTTTTATCGCAAATTTCCATTGTAAAATAGAATCAAATGTCTCATTTTCAATGCAAGCACCTGGTATGATATGATGACTTCAGATTCTTTCTCGTTCGGACCGCCTCGCTTCGCCCGTTTCTTACCTCGTCTTTCTGCAAAAAACCAACATTCTCGTTATCTTACGTTCAGTATTTGATGAATTATTACAATACCTAATAAAGTACGATTACCGGTAGGTGTATTTAAAATGAAACGGTTAAACGTTTGAAAAAAACAATATGTAACTTGCCGGGTGTTATTTGATGAAATGAACGAAAAACGTGACAACTGAATATCAGTAATGAAAATTACACGAACCACTCTCTGTGTTATCTTTATTTGAGTCATTCAGTGACGATGTACCACCAAACGAGATTTTTGTGGTCGTTGTGGTTGGATTGAAGGAAAAACCAGTGGACGATTTATTCGACTGATTGGTTTGATCAGACGGCTTTGTAGCTGACACCGTTGAAGATGTGGATAACGACGACGATGATGATGACGATAATGAGGGAGAAACTTCGCAATCTGGAACTTTCATCGGAACGTTTAAAATATTTGAAAACTCTGATAGACAATTTAGAAAACGACATAACGATAATGAACAATCAAACAACACGCAAATAGATGATTAAACCGAAAAATGAATTAATTTCAACAAAATTTCCCGATGGAAATTTTATCAAATGAAAATCTGTGCAAATAAATCGATCAGACAACCGAAAGTTT